CATGTAGCGTCCATCTTCTTCCAGCTCATTGGCCAGGTTATCAAAGTAAACTTTCACTTGCTGAGCCTGTGGAGTGGAGCTGTTCCCGCGGAGCAGCTGAGCGAGCATGGACACCAGTCCCGTGGTACACCAACACAACACAACACACACCGACCACCAACCACCACAGCACACACACACCACACCACACCGTTATGGGCTGAAATCTCAGTCCCTCCTATACAACACATTCAGCATGCACGGTCAGCCTTGCCAGTAAACCTGCGTACCCCTAAATATGTTTGTTTGTTTGTTTGTTTGTTTGTTTGCCTAAAAAAGGAGGACATGGGTGGACATTTTCTGCAGGACATTCATGATCATGTGAATTTTCTTCCGTGGTACTTTTTCTCTGACAATCATGATGCTTATTGGAATGAACATTCTTAGAAAAGACACAGCTCCTATCAGGTTGCATTGCTAAACTATTACCATCTATATACTAAGAGCTATCTCTCTCGCTGCATCAACTATCAGCTGTTTTATGACAGGACAGCAACAGACATGTAGTGTTACATGTACTGTGTATCGGGCTCACCTTGTACTCGGCTGTCAGTCTGGGTGCTGCTGTCTTTCGTATCTCGACCTGGCCTCGACTGGCCCGGATCGGCTCGGTTCCGTATGTCGCTTCCTTCCATTCAGCCGTCAGCTAGAGATATAATATGTCGTCCCGGCTTCCAATAACAGAAGAGCAAGTGGCAAGAGTTCAACCAGAATTAGTATTAACCTGCGACAGAGTGTCAAGGTGGACAGGTGGAGGGGCTTCTTCCGGTCTGTGCTTTCAAAACAAAAGCCTGACGAACGAACCAAATATGTTATTTGGGAAATAAACTAATACAAGCTGTCTTTGCAGAAGAATGTGCAACATTTATGAAAGAAAATACACCCGTGTTTTCTTCTGTGTGTTACCATTTCACATTATCTTTCTATGACTACTTACGATTGTTACAAGTAACGTTAACAAAACTTAAAGCTCTTAACTTACAGCTTACGTTAGTTAACGTTAAAGTTACCTTCTGAGTTAGCAGCTTAGAGAAACTCAGACCTTGATAACACGTAAGAAAGCTACACTTATTAACTTAAATCTAATATGTATAAGTTATTCCATGCAGTCTGGTATTATTCATACGCTGCCCATTTATTGTTAATATCTTACTTTAAGAGAGAATCGGACTTACCGCTGTTCCTATCGCAGCTAACGGGTTGTAGCTTGACAGTTCCGGGTTACTTCCTCAATAACCTCTGACGCAACAAAGTGGGCGTAGTGACAAGTATTGATTCAATATCCATTTTGTTCCACTAGGTGACAGCACACTACTGTGACATAGAATCAGATAGCTACTGCTTTACCCTATAAAGAATTAGCCACTTCAGTATAAAACCTAAAATTAAATGCAATGAGGAGAATCATTCAAACATTCAAATAACAAATATGACATAATTAAAGTCTAATGTACTGGCAAGGACTATTTACACAATAAGAATGCATTAATAAGGTACTTCAGTACAGAATATGTATTATATGGAAACAAGCAGAGCTTGGAGTTGTTTATTTCTTTACAGAAACATGTCATCCCATAGCTAAATATAAAAAAGCAAAATAACATGTCACAGTTATGTAACAAAAAAAGTCATACAAATCCCAAAATTGTAATGCTGATCGCCTCAAAGTAAACCATTAGGCTATGAGCGGAATTCAAACCAAATTACCAGCAGTTTCATGAACTTGTCCAATGTAAATAAGAGCTTAACAAAGCACAATAAAAATATATATTTTTTATCTTATTACAGTGAGCAAAACAATCTTATTTTTCCAGTTTGCTTTTTATATAAAACAAGAAGAAAACTGTAAACCTGCTCATCATTCCACTAAAGCAGTAACAGCCACAGAAACCTAACCTCAATGCACCAAAAATGTTTTGTAACCTGAATGAAACTGTGCTTTTATAATAAACAGAGATCCAAGTTCAAACCCAATTAAAATGGTTCTTTCAAGCATCCGAGTGCCTCGTGAAATAGAAACCTAACGGAGGAAACAGAAACTGATCTCACCAGTGTTGCTGCCAGCTGACCCGGTCAATAACACTCTTGTCTCTCGATCTACTCTGTAACATTTTCTTACAATGCCTGGTGACGCAGCAGAAAGAAAAAAAAACTAGGACAGGCAGGGCAGGCGTTTTTTGGTCATCATGAGCCCGAGCAAACATAATATTAAAACAAAACGTCTCACATCTTTTTACAGAGCATTTCAAAGTGTTCACATTGCTTTAGCTTGCTGTGTCTTCAGTGCATTTTCACTGCAATCTGCAGGAAAAACGGACAGAAAATGTGATGAGAAGGACTCCTCTTGGTCTTAATGAGTTTGCCATGTTGCCCGTGTGTTTCTTTAAACGTATGCCAAACCGATGCAAACAGTCACCTCGGATCAGTTTATTAAAAGGTCCCAGTGTCATAAGGGAAATAGGTTATTCTTTAAATATAAAGCGTCTGCTGTAACATACCACCTACCTTGGATACACTTTACAACTTTTACACTTGCAAGAAATGAAGGACGCTGCTAGTGATGTAACAGTGCATGAAATGTTCACTGTTGCTTTTGTAAAACCTCAAGCGCAACATTGTCTAGTCTTCCCTTCCACAGCACGTTAGATAATTAAACTATTAGTGTTCTAGTGAATATGAAGCCAAACCATATGTACTTTCTTAAAGTGCTTTAGAGCAAAACATTTAAGTCAGGCAGAATGAGTATACCGAAAGAAAACATAAAATGGGAAATAATATACATCCCACAATCGTTTTGAACTTCCAAAATGTACAAAATACCAGCAAGAAGATTTTAAAAAAACCAACCAAGTGACCCATAACATCACATAGGATCTGGATCAACTGTCTCCACTGAATGGGACTCAATAGCTTAAACAGTAACATTGAATATAAAAGTTTAAGACTACTACTAGAGCTACTTTTGCCTGAACATCAAGACTGCAAATTGAAAATGACAGAAAAGGATAGTAGAAGTAATTCAAGGATGTGTTTCAGTACAGTGGTATTAGTGTCCTGGCCAGTGTTATCAAGTCAGTTATCTAACCTCTTTTAACAAAACACCTCTTTCAGTTCCCTAACAAAGACACAGACTGTTCTTTGAACTAGTTTCATATTCATTCCAGGTTTCTGGTCTCCCATATTAACCTTTCCAGAAATAAAAGGAGGACGTGTCAGGATGTGTAAGCGCTGGCCGAGGAAACAAACAAAAATTCAAGTATACATACAGCATGTAAAGAATACGATGCAGTGCGGCAGGAAAAGGCGTCAGGACTTTGACGAGTGACTCCACAGGAATTGGCCAAAGTGCTGATTTCAGATCCACGGATAGTGCAGCTTAGATTCCAGTCCGACATCTTGTGAATGATGCTGCGTATGTGTCCACATGTGCCTCAGTGAATATGTTATTAGACATTTCAAAAAAGGGCTTAGGAATGTGATCAGAACTGATATTTTAGGAGCGGTGACCCGCTGCTACACTCGGAACACAACCACATCCACTTGGTCAGAATATAGTTTGTAAAAATAAAATAAAAATAAAAGCCCACAAGAGTACCACTCAGTTCTTAAAGGCCCCGCAGCGGCTAGCTTTGCTGATAAACTCCTTGAGCATTCCTCCATCCACCTGCCAGAAGGCCCCGGTCTGAGTCACCTGAGTCAGATGGTTTACGCAGAACCTGAAACAAAACACTTCCAGGTCCTAGAAAAAGACAAATATTATGAAAAAGGATTGGAATACACAGAATATAATGTGGTGTAACCGAACAGATCAGAGCAGAATAAAACACAACACTGACACGATCCCTCTGGAGAAAACAATGCTGCAGCAGCAACATACACAAGCCAGTACAGTGTATGGGGCTATTTCTAGAACCCTGTAGTTCTCTGTGTGTACACTGTGTGTCACTCTACTCTGTGATCAACAGAAGGAACTTTAAATCAACACGGAGGGGAAAACCTTTGATTGTCTTGCCAAGAAAAATACTACTGTGATGTATCTGAAAAGGGTTTGGCTTCATGGAGAATTTGTTGACTGCAGAAATAAAAAAAAGTTAGACTACACTGTGTTACACTCCACACAATCAGCAGCCCCTCATTTGCTTTTTACTAGAATTACTAGGAGTCCCCAGGTAACACTAGTCCCATGCAAATAGAGCTTTAGCTGCTATTGTAAAGAATAATCTGTACAAGTAGGACGAACCACCATAATAAACCATTTACACCTTCACCCTGGAATTACAGTATTGCGATGTGCAGTACGTGTGTGCATACTGTACCTCGGCGTCGTATCGTATGGCAGCAGACAGCAGTGTGAAGGCGTTTTCGACAGTGATTCCTCTCTTGATGATCTGCTGACACAGACGCTTCAGGCGGTTTTCACAGTAAGAGGTGGCCAGGTCCAGCAGGCCTGCAG